CTGTGCAGGCAAACTATCCCACAGAGAAATGACAAAAACAAGGAAACAAAAATCACAAAGCCAATAAGCAGCACTGAAGCTAAATTAGCTATGTCTTTGTGGGAAAGAATGGCCCTGATGGTATTGACAAGGGAGACCTGTTGTGTTTTTGATCCCCATTTAGAGCAAAAAACTCTGCAGGATTCTTTTGAGATGGTCTACAAAGACATGATTAAATAGAAAATAAATAAATATTCAAAGCCAATGCAGTGCCAGATGTTACTGTTAGTTGCTCTCAGAATACTACTATCCCCAAAGACCATTCACTCTGAAAGACATCAGGGATGACCACACGCCAAGCGGCAACCAATGAAAAGTATAACCAATGCGGAAGTACCTTAAACCTGCATTTTTTCTAATGGCCAGCAGGGGGACTCCACTGGTCACAAAAAGAAGTCTGATTACACTGGAGTCAATGACAAAATTATCCTACTTCTCACTTTATTTATTACCTCAGTAAATACTTTCATAATAGTTTTATGATCTCAATCACCAGTTTCAAGTCTTCTTTGATACAGCCTGATGTTCAATTAGTAAATTATGTTCCCATTTAGAGTAAATTAGACGATAAAGCAGGGTATGCTACTGGGTGTGACTACCTTGTTATTGACATGTTGCTACCGCAGTGAACTGTCAGGTTAAAGATGAAGGTACTCTGATTATGGGTATGGCAGAGGCTGTCAAGAGAAGCAAGGACGAGAAAAAGAGAGAGTGAATGAGCAAGAGTCCAGACAAGAGTAAATATCGGACTGGCTTTTACTTGTTGGCTTGAGCTAAAAGAGCTGAAAGGATGCAAGACAGATGCCGAGCTGGATGCTTCTTTCTGTTGGACTAGTAAGTAATTACTTATTAGCTAGTTTGCTATGGCTTGTGTTGTTGCACTTGCTTGATGTTTTAGCAAAATGAATGTTACTGTAAGTGTTCTTGCATTGGTTGCTGTCTAGCTTTGTTGGCTATCCCTCCACCCAAATTTCAAGCAACATTATGCTGATGCTGGTGAAGAGAGGCACCGGTGTCGTACCAAAGCCAGGCGAGCGGGCAACATAATGGGGCTCAGCAGCCTCTATGGACACAACGTTAGCTAGTGGCAAAAGCAAAGAAACTGAGGTGGTCGCTGACGAAGGAAGCTAAGTTGAGAAAAAGAGATTGACCAAGCAAGAGGCTGCTGGACGTTGGCGAGACCTTCATGAAATAAAAGGCTGCAAGACAGATGCCAAGCTGGCACTCAATTCAATTCAATTCAAATTTGCTTTATTGGCATGAATGTTAATTGAACAGTATTGCCAAAGCTTCAAGGAAAATACAAAAGAACAATTCAATTCAGACAGTCAATTAAATAAAATTAAATAAATAAAACAGTAAACACGTGTGTGATTAAATAATACATAAATAAAAAATAAAATAATAAACTGTATGAATTTAATTGTACAGTTCACCAAATAATAATTAAAAAAAATGTAAATATGTGTGTGTGTGTGTGTGTGTGTTTGTGTACCATGGGTCAGTAATATAAAGAAGTAATTTTATGTTTAGGATCAATGAAGAAATGAAAATATTATTAATGGAAAAATCACATGTATCAAATGTAAAATATATGTAAAAAAAAACAAACAAAACAAGCAAACCCATTAAGTACAGAGTAAATCAAAAGGCAGAGTGAGTTGTGGGCAGACTAACTTCGGCTGTCATGTTTTGTGCTGGTTTTCTCTCAGGCTGTGACATGCACTGACATATCTTGCTGTTTCCATGGCGCTGACACTATTTTCTTTCTGTGTACAGAGTTGGCGTAGTAAGTAATATTGCTATGCCTTGTTTTGCCGCACTTGCTTGGTGTTTTGCTGCGTTAGCAAAGTCGTCTACTCGCTAGTTTTTGATCATAAGTAATGTAATCATATCAAATGGGTTAGGGTTAGGAAATGTAAGGGGGCCCAAAATCACACACATGCTGTCTTGTTCAGAATTTGGTTGTACTAAAGACACTCTAAAGAGTAGGCTGTTCAACGTTTCCAATAATGACATTTTTTTTAAGCTAACCAAATACATGTATCCCAACTAATTTCAGAGTTTACAGATGCACCTTGCTAACCAAGCTAGCTAGTTCCACCCTATCGCATGAATATGGTCACTTCTGGTGACCATATTCATGCCAAACTCACAAACCAATGTAATACGTCATGGCGGCTACATCCACGTCTTTTATACAGTCTGTAACACACACACACACACACACATACACACACACACACACACACACAGACCTGCAAAGCAAACAGCACATATTCCATCAAAGCTAACTTCTCTATTACCTGGTGACCAAAAAATTCTTGAAGTACATTGTGACACGTTCCACTGGGGCGACCCCCTAGAACTGTATGTGCTTATCATACTGTAAGAAATGTTTGAAAAAGGTGGCCACCCCGTTGTCTATTTATGATAGATAAGACTGTTCCTCTGATAACATAAACACTAAGTAGCCTACTGAGCTGGCATTCAAATGTCAAATTTGCATTGGTATCAGGGAGAAAAGAAACTGGTCAGCTCATTTACTGACTCGTGGGAGATGCTATTTTTCACAACAAAGATGTTTTCAATTTGTATGAATGCAATAACATTAGCTATGTATATATTAGATAGATATGGCAGTTGAAATGTTAAATATTCTTGTGAGGCAGCTTTATTCTACTAATTAGCAGAAGCAACAGAACAAACTACTATGTAATTACATCTTTTTACTAGTCAATTAATTCTGACCTAACAGAGGTTAAGCATGTTGGTTGAATGCATTTCAGTAGCAGACATGCAGTTTTTTGTGATCCTCATCTGATCCCGGAAGATGTGTTTTCTCACCTTTTGCCCAATTCCACAAAGGGATCAAGAGGTCAGGCTGAGTTACAGAACAACATCTCTAGAGGTGTCAGAGACTTCATGTCATGTTCAAAGACACTTAAAAACAACATATTTTATTAGTCTATATGCTACCATGCAACCCAACAAGTCTTATGATAAATTTGCAGCATAAAATCGATTATTGATACATGATATGATCCACATAAAAGCCACATAAAAGCATAATCACTCATATCAGTATGAGCTGGGCTGCTCTTGTATTGATGTTATATTCCCATCTGTCCTAATTAGACCTTTCTGTGTACAGAATACACTGTGCAAGTAAAGCAACAACTGGCAGTGCACATGCTCACTTGCATGAATAACAAAACAATTCTGAAGAGTGGCATTGAATGCATCATTCCCTCTGTAAAGTAAAGGACAGACCGGTTTGGAAATTGTGCACAGCAAATAGATAGATGGCGTGGCAAATTTATAGTGCAAACATGTACTGTTAAAATTGTACTGTAGCTCCACCAATCTATTTCACGGTCTCTGAATGGCAGCATTGATTCAGCACCATGGACAGTGACACATTCTGGTGCATTCCAGCACGCTGCTGTCTTTTTAAATTGTTTACCCAAATATGCCTTTGATTCGAGCACCTGACTAAAACTTCTATTTTCCTTCCAAATCAAAATTTTAAAGGTTCAAAACCACTGATGAATATGCTTGATATCTGAAAAGTACCACTGAGCTTAAACAAATCCTACTGCTATGTTGGAGAAAAACAAAGATTATAACACATATGAAGACTTGGAATGTATGTGAAAAAGATTATAGTCCTTGATAATGAAGATGGGGTAACAGTTTCTGCTGCTGAAGTGTCCTTGAGCAATATACTAAATATAATGCTATGTCTGGACAAGTGAGAGAATCGTTTTATTGCAGATGCTGGATTTGACTTATTTTGTTATAGAAAATGACAAAACAAACAATTGTTTTTACTTGAAAGTGTGTGGCACTTCTTATTAGGTATTTATATGTCAAAGGAGATCTTAACTATACCATGTAAAACATTAGACCAGCTGTGGACAGTGCCATTAGAGCAGGGGTTCACCATCCTCAGGTCTATTGGTTTTCTACCCTCCTGGGTAGTTAATAACATTCACCTAGCATCCCAGGTGTAAAATAGTCCCTGTTAGATGGTTAGAATAAAAAGCAGCAGGCTCTTGACTCCCGAGGTCCAGGACTGAGAACCTCTGCTGTAGAGAACATTTCTACAAGGCTTCATAGCAGTGTCTTTCATGACTGGTCCTTTAGACTTACAACCCTGCTGATTTTCTTTCTAAACATCTGACAGGGACTTTTTTATACCCAGTATGTCAGATTAGGATAAAAAAAAAACAGCAGCACATGGGTTCAGCAGACCAGAAGTGTTATGAAGATGTGCAGTAAATATTTTTTTGTCCTTTGTAACATAATAACATAGAATAAGAATGTATATCAGCACAAATAAAAAATGTATTCTTTATAACTACAGTTTTGAATTCTGATTTACCACTTCATGTGTTTTATTTTCAACATGTATTTAACACTACTGATGTACAATTACTGATGTACAATTACAAAAAGGTTTTACTTTACAATATGTGCTGCCATTACAATCCTTCCGTTCCCCCCGAGCCAACCCCAGATTTTCCTCATTGCTAAAACAAAACTATATGCCCTAACATAGTCAGGACAAGTAGCACAAATGCTGCCTTTGCACCATTTAAATGTCCCAAGCTTTCCACTCTACACAAATGTTTGCATTCTTACTCTGCCCTGTGGGGCCCTCAGTCATTCTGCTCTCTCATTGGCTGCTCATTATGCAAATTATGTAGTGGGCGGGGTCTGTTCATAAGAGTATGAGCTGACGTCACGGGCAGTGTGTGTGTGTGTGTGTGTGTGTGTGTGTGTGTGTGGGGGGGGGGGGGGGGGGGGTGAAGGGGATTACAAAATGAAAACACATAAAGCACAGAAAAAATTAATAAGGATGATTCCAAACCAGACTTAGGCTGTAAAGGAAGAGGAGAGAGTAGGGAGGGAAAACAGGAGGAGGAGTGGGGAGAGAGGACGATATAACGGAGGGGGGAGTGTGCACTGTGCAGTTGACTACAGAGAGAGAGGGAGCAGGAGAGAGAGAGAGAGAGAGAGAGCGAGAGAGAGAGCAGCTCGCCGGCCCATTGAGGAAAGATGGCTACAGTCACTGCAAACGGAGTGCAGCAAGAGAATGGATTCAGCACCACGAACAGCGCCGGCAGGATGAACGGGCTTACCATCGGCCAGAACACCATTCCAATGAAGGACCACGACGCCATCAAGCTTTTCATCGGGCAGATTCCCAGAAACCTGGAGGAAAAAGACCTGAAACCCCTGTTTGAGGAATTCGGAAAGATATACGAACTCACTGTACTGAAAGACAGGTTTACGGGAATGCATAAAGGTTGGTTATTTCGGTATCTTTACTTTTACATTCCTTTAGAAATTCAAAGGAAATCGACAGAGGGAAAATCCAAAAGCGTCCCAATTCAGTTTTGGGGCAGAGAGCACGAAAAGTGTGTTAATTTGCAGATGTTTTGGGTCAGAGTGGGAGCCCCGTAGAGCCTTCACACTCACGCACACACACAATTTTTGAGGTGTGAGAGGGAGAACACGTGGAAGTGAATTGCTTTCAAGTGCAGGGTTAGGCTAAACCACGTCCAGGCAATCCACGTGAATACTACAGCTGAAAACGCCTTTGTGTGTTTACATTGACTGTCATGTGCTGAGCATCCCAGTTAAGGGGGCGGGACAGACAAGCGTTGGATGTTGTGTTATTTCTGCAACTACAAAAAATTCTGAACAACTACAAAAGAAACAAACAAAAAACCGTCTGTTCTGCATCACAGAGTCCATTTGCTGCATACAAATAAATGCTTTCAGGGGAGCGGAAAATATAAACCATTATCAGGCAATCAGCATCGGTGATTAAGGTGGTGCTGGCATGCTGCTTTGACCTTTCAGAAGCTATTGTGTTGTCTACTTTTCGGACGTCATTAGCCGTGGAAAATAGGCTACTATTTACATGGCAGCTGTATTGTAATGCTGCTCCGTGGGCGGGTTGCAGTCAGGAAGTACAAAGCAGGATAATAGTAGAGGCTGAGATCCAGCATGCATCGTCTTCTGGCTTGTTCTGCCCCCACCCCCAACCCCCCAACCTTCCGTTCCCCTCACCATCCAAAACGAAATCAATTCTAATGATAGCTGGAATAATGAATGCCAGAGGGCGGTTAGGGTTGGAAAGTCTTTTAGTTACAAAAGAATCCTGTCCAAGTCCAGAATTAAAAGTCCAAGTCTGGTTTAAACACAACTTATTGCTATTTGCAGTATTTATATTATATTTTTACATTAAACGTGGAAATACTGTAGAAATAAGTATAATAGAATAAACATTTTAATGTAATAATAATAACCACATTTTGAAAGGCAGTGCCTTTATTCCTTTTTGCATCTAGGTGTTTCTCTTTTTATCTTTATTATAAGTTTTGAATTGCAGTAGTGTTTCCATTAGTGTTTTATTATTAATATTTCTGAAATTTTAACTGTTTATTTTGTTGTGTTTTAAACATAGATTTTATTGGAATGGATATCCAAAATAAGGTCACACTTCCAGTCCAATCCGTGTCATCATAAGCAGACTGTGTGGAGCGTAGTTTATTATCAGCTAAACGATAGTGCTGTATTGAACAATATTATTATGACACTGCTACCGGTTGTGTTTGTTATTATTTTGTAAATCATTGTTATGTCATTAGTTATATTTGAACTCAGATATAATTTTAAATCGAGCATGCACACAAGTACAGACACGCACACACACTCAAACACTTGTTCTCCCGTATGCACACATGTAGCATTGAATTCACAGTTCACTCTCAGTAAAAATTATCTGTTCGCAAGGCAGGCAAATTATGTATGATATATAAGTCAGTGGCTACACTTCATGATCTTATTGATCAGCATGAGTCAAGCGCTCTTGTGGGAGAAATGAGTGTGGGCTCAGCATTGCTTTTTTGTGTGTGCAGCCCCGAAGGTCTCCATGCACCACCTGTTCCTCCAGCCATCAGTCACTGGTGCTCAACCTGCTCCTCCTCTTTCCAGTGTTCCTCTTTGGAGTCCCATGATCGATTAAAACAATATATCTGATGTTTGTGTTGTTTACGCCTGTCCTCGACCATCCCTGAATGTCAACACTCTGGAGGATGGTTGCCTCGGGAAGGATAATCCTGTTCCAAAGCCAGACTGTATGCCCGTTCAAATCATCCTCCACCAAGGCCACTCTGATGAATGCGTTATGCCCACTTCATCCCGCATGACATTCAAAGTCACTTTGGGAGCACATTTTAATAAGATTTCACCAATGCATTATATGGATGAGTTTTTCTTATTGGCCACTCACCTAAACCATGTTCATACCTCCTGCTTCGTCAATGTGTAATACGTGTGGACTGAAGCAAGAAAGAACTGGAGTAAGAAAATGGGATTAGTGTCATTAAGAAAACAGAAGTATAGTGTATCACCAGCTCCGTCACTCAAGGAGAGCAGTTTAAAACACTGACTGGAAGCCTGAAACCAAGCAAAGCTTTTGTAGGGGACCTGAAGGTAAAGTTCATCAAAATGCTGCACAAGTTTGTTCAAACTAAATTCTGTTGTAAATAGACCACTGAGGTGATTGCAACTCTCTATTCTATGTAATCAGACTTGAAATTGTGATTTTATTTGACCAACAGTCTCATCTCAAGGCCCACTTACTGGCTGTTGTCTGAAGATTTTTAACCATCAAGTTTTAACCGTCGTCATGAAGTTGAAATTGAAGTGTTTCAGAAACAATGCATGTACCAAGTTGTACACAAGTCCTTTAAAAAAAGTGTACAAAATATAATACTACTACTACTACTACTACTACTACTACTAATAATAATAATAATAATAATAAAAGAAAACTGGGTCTTGCCATATTATTTTACATGTTCACCCTCATTTACATGCTGAAATTCATTGGGATATAAAACTTAAAGATTTGACAGTGAGGTTTATATTTGTGTTCCCCTGGGTTAAAGCTTCTATGAGTTTTTCAGCATGTACTGATCTCACAAATCAAAGGTACTTAACTGTTTGAGCATTCTGGGATGCCTTTTAGGATTATAATAATTTTTATGCTTGTTTGTTAAAGGGATTGTGCATAGTGATGAACCCACACAGAATTATCACCCGACTCTGTAATCCACGCTTTTTAGCTTCTTCCAGCTTGTTGTTTTGGTTCTCTGGCCCACTGTTTTGCTCCTCTCTCACCGCTCTTGTGTTATTTTTGGCTGCAGCAGGCAGCTGTTTTTTTTTTTAGCAAAATAACTATGCACTACAGTTTGCCCAGCATGAAAGGACCTACAGACAAATTTAGTGACCAGCTAGTGAATGTGTTAGATCAATACATTCCAAATGCTGATGTAAATAGTAATGCTCCAAGTCTGCTAGATGTGTAAATGATAATAATATTAATGGCTTTATTTGTATAGCACTTTTCAATACAGGTAACAAAGTGCATTACAGAATTCAATGTAAATCATAGACAAGTTGAATAGAAAGTTGTATCTCATACACAGTGGTGTGCAGTAAATAAAACATAAAACAAGTCAATGTACAATTAAAGGAAATTTGAATTATGCATCACACATTAAAAGCTTTTTTTTATAAATGAATCTTAAGAAGTGAGATAAATAAAATAAGCTAATATGTCCGTATTGTGTTCACAGATTGTTTTCCACTGCTGCCGAGGGCCACATAAAAAAAAAGTTAGTGTAGGTTTTGCTAGATCTCATTGAACATGACACATTGAAATGATTTTCACCTACTGTAGTTACAGTGCTGAAATTATGTTATTCATTGGACTGTAGCTTTATAGTTTGAAATGTTGAAGAAATCATTTCTGTTCACGTCATGATGTCACGTGAGAGTAGATGTTAGGGTCACATGATGCGCTGCCACAAAGTAGAAAACCCTCAGCTGGGTGTTGAACCATCTTCACACATCTCTTTAGTTAACAGTCCAGTGGATGTTGTACTGCCTGGATGAACGGGGTTAACCCACACAGTCAAGTGATGTAGCTGTTTAACTATCATCAACAATGTCGTAGTGTATAGTGTGTTATAGCTTGAGTAATTTCCTCCACCTCAATAAAATATACGTTTTTGCAATAATCTTTTGTCCAAAGTACATGTACTGCACAGTGGTTTAAACAGTAGTTAGTGTTGTGTTTGCATAATTTGCCAATGGCCCGGGAGGCTCCCAATGTTGTGACTCTGACATAAATTCAATCCACATTTTTATCATAATCATTTGTCACAGCAGAGCAACAGAAGAGTGGGGGGGATATAATCAGCTTGGCTCCATGATCCCTAAAAACATAAAGTTCATAAAGATTTAGAGCAGTGCCGTGAATTTAGTTTCACTACTACTTTGAAATCCCTCTTTGAGCTTAGTTTGTGGTTGAGAAAGATTTGATTTGTTTCGGATAGATGATGTATATGGCTGTTGGCATCAGTTAGTAAACCGTACCTAATGGATGATTTGCAGCACTACCTTTTTTCACAGCCCGAGTCCTGTGACACAGAATTGCACCATAATTATGGATTTAAGGGCAGATCAAAATATGTCATGTTTGCTCATGACTAATTCATGTGGATTGTACTGCATCAGTTAGAACAGATGTTTTGAGCTTTGTGAATTCTTACTTTGGGCATTTAGGGTATCTCCAGGGACTTGTCTGAATATCTGGGGAATTTCATATCTTATATTTCCCTGTACACTTCAGTGGATTATTGTAACTGTATGGTGATGTCTATTTAGAAGGCATTTTTTTCCATCTGTTTCTTTTAACAGATGATTATATCCTGCCTCGTAGTTGTGAAACGCTGTTGCCTTTAAAGTCGGTTTGATAGTTTGTGTCGTCAGGGAGCCTTATACAGCGCGTGGGATGACTTGACAGTATTGGCGGGCATGGTACTCGTCAGTGTGTGGTGCAGCCAGGTCGTGCTGTTTAACATCCATCATTTCGCTGAGCACTACATTATCATAATACTTAGTGTCAGTGCCAGAACGCATGCATTGTTCAGACATGCTGAATGTTAGTGGGGGGCAAATCTCTTGCTTGAGTAGCGTTATCTATCAATCCGTCTCTGATGCTGAGAGGAGGGACTCTGAGCTGCACCACACAGCCAGGAGGAAGAGATACAAAGAGTTGTTAAATATCCTCATCCATTCTCCTCTCCTCGGTAGGTCCATGCAGTGTAATTGACTATAAATAGCCTGCCAAATTGACATAAAAAACCCCTCTTAGGCATTAAAATGTCAAAAGAAAACCACAGTAGGGCACTAATATCTAATTGCAAGTGACTCATAGAATGTAACAACAAATCCTTGAAAGTGTCTTTTCAATTTGTAGACAGTTTTGTGGTTTTCTGTGAAAATAAATTCTGTTGCTTTAAAAAATAGTTTTGAGCCCTTTGGTAAGGCCACTAGGAATTACTTGTATTGGGTTTTATCTACAGTATGACTGTTGTAGAGGAAGCGCTGGACAGTGATTGACAGTTTGTGTAAGCTGAGTGACAGGTGTAGCTTAAGTCTACAGATGACCTCTTTGATCATTAGAAAGAAGGCTGTGTGTGAACCAGACAGCTAACCGCTCTGAACAGCACCTCTCTGAATGTAGATTGATAGAACGACTAAAAGATGGAAAGAGGCTCCGCAGGTAATAGTGTGGTTAACACAGAAACATGAAGCGGCAGATGAATCCTCACATCGTATTTGTCTCAGTACCCACGAGAGGGTCAGGCTGTCATATTCTGCAGCATCCAGTTGTTTTCCATTTTTTTTTTTTTTTGCCGCCTACGTCTTTTATTTGGAAATTAATTTCCATTCTTTTCTCACTTTAATGAACATTCTTGGTTTAAACGTGTGAGGAGACTGAAGGAGAGAAAATTGCTCATGATTCATGAATTCAGTGCTAATGAATTGAAATTTTATACAAATTTGTTCTGGAGTTATTTCAATTACAGGTATCTGATGCCTTAAAAAAGCACAATTTACTCTTAGTGCCTGGATGCATGCAATTGTGAGCACATACTAATTTCCATTTAAAAACAAACCGTTAGAAGAAGCGTTACAGAGGAGAAAGTTCTTTAAGTAATTACCCGAAACGTGTCTAGCAAATGCAAACACCCATTTCACATTTCCTGCTTTCTCTTTGAACTAGTTTGCAGGGTTTACTTTTTAATTTGCCTTAAATATAATTTGTTGAACTTTTGTCCCTCACTGAAATTATAGTGTGGTAAATTGTCTTTGATTACCAAGGTATTATTTTCACCCCACTTAACCTGCTCATCACAGGAAGCCACCAATCCTTCTGTTTAACTACCAACAGATCTTACCCTTAATTTCAGAACCTTGTCCATACTCTCCTACTCTTCTTCTTCCCCTTGAATGCATCCAGCTTGTTTTCTTCAGTCGTTGGTTAATTCCAACTGTAATTCAAAAGGAAGGTTTAAAATAATTGTTGTTTTTTTAAAAATGAATACTGTACATCTTAAGCACCTGTACCATAACAGCAAAGTGAAGCACTGAAGCATTAGAGGACCAAACCAGTACTTTTTACTACAAATAATCTGCACTTTACATACTTAAAAGAGACTTAAGACTTAAAAGACTCAAAATTTTTGCTTCAGTTCTCTAAGTTATGTACAGTGAACATAATTTCTGCTGTTATTGTCACGTCGTATGCTGTTATTGTATCATATGTTTTTTTTTCTGCGTTGTAATGTTGCTGACAGTCTAAGCCAGTTTTCACATTCTGCTGCATTATCACATTGAAAGTAGTATGTTTTTGAAAAGTCAGTTTGCGTGATTCCATGTAATACCAAGGTGACAACAATGTGGGATAACTTGCAAGTATGAATGTAATCCCATGCCAATTAGTCAACTTAAAATGTTAAGCTGACAGCCCTAACCTGCTACCAGCTGCTTCATCCTTGTTACCGCCCCTCTAACAGTATCGTTGTGCCTCTCCTCATGTTCTCCAAGCTAAATGCTCATCTGTTCCACAACTGGCTTTCTCAGCCACTGATTCCTTTGGGCTTAAGATGTCCCCTGAACCAGCAACGTTGGATATGAAGCACAAGTCCTGATTTTCCACCACCGTCAGGAAGCCGAGTCAGCTACGCAGCTAGGCTGAATATTAAAGGCCATACGTTTACACACAAAAAGTCCAGTTTAACAAGTAATTTGAAGTAATAGTAATAGTAATAGGGGATGCTTCACATGTGTCAGATGCAGTTTCACTGGCTTTAAGCAAGCTCCTGGATTGGACAGCGGTGAAAGATGTACTCAGATCCATTAATCAAGTAATACACCATACAATTACATTTAATCAATACATTCAATATTTTCCCAAGGTAAAACTTCAGACATATTTGCAATAAAATGTTCTTAAAGTACCAAAAGTAAAAGTACTCATTATGCAGAATGGTCCCGTCAGCATTATATTATTGGATCATTACCTTGTAAGCACTCCTTTGATGTAGGCTGGGCTGACTGAGGCGGAACTGATTTTTATTACTTCATAAACTGCTGGCTAGATTATGCATCATTTTGTTTGAAATAATCACATATTTTCTATGCAAAGTCTTAATCTGAAGTAACTAGTAACTGTGAAATAAATGCAGAAGTGTAAAGTAGCTTAAAATTAAAAAGTTTGTGCAGTTTATGTATTAGCAGTCAATTTTTCTCAAAAGACAATGGTCAAATATAACTTTGAACACTGTAGAGAAAAACCAACATCACTGCTGCATGAGATGATACACTGATTTGTGGTAGGGACAACTCTTATATGTGCTAAATGTCTGGACAATATGCCGCAAAGTGACACATTGAAAAATACCAAACAAAAAGATGAGGGGGGAGTGGGAGAAGAGTGTCAGCAACAGCCTACGATTCCCATAAGCTTTTGCTACGACATGCCCCACGGGAGGCCACAAAGGATGAAGAGTGTTTCCCCAGGCTCCCAAACTTTTCTGCTTTGCTGTGTGGCATGCTGTTTCATCAGTGTCGTTTAGGTGATTTTTCCTCTTGAGTAACTGCCTAGTTGTGGAGGTGGGTGAAGGTTGTCGTGAAAGGGAGCTCTCTTGGCCAGGCGCCAGAGTGTGTTGCTGGGTTTCGGGGCTGATGGGTGCTATGTGCTGCATGCCGGGTATCATCTGTAAGCGTGAGTGTGTGTGCGAGTGTGTGTGTCTCTTTTCTCCCATGGGAATCCTTGGCAGCAGGTGTGACATGTAGTAATGGGAAATTATGCTGCACAGTGCAAAACCTCTTCTGAACGGGGTCACCCACTGTCAGCTCTGCCAAGCGTGTAACAGAGCAGCCACTCACCCTTTAATGAAAGCTGTCACATTTTTGTTAGGGCCTAATGTATTGATGCATATTCATTCTGTTTTCATTCCAATTTTCCAACTTAAAGAAAAGTCTCCAGAGATGTGTGAGGGTACAGTTTCAGCTCATCACCAGAGGATTTTAATTACTTGGTAGCTAAAAAAAAATATGCGTGCTGTTTGACTTTTTCCTCCTGTGCCCAGTTCAATAACTATGAAAGTGATCATTCATCAGAAAGCAGTACGCATATTTTTTTGGAATAGAAAAAAAAGACACCCTATCTGCGGTGACTCAGCATTTTTCATCACCACTCCCTTTAAACACACCAGTTATGAACAGTTTTTCCTGCTTTATTTTGCTTATCCCTTAAACTGAATAGGGAAATAAATTACAAAATTACATGACAACAACAACAAAATACAAACATTTTATTCAAATAAAAATTAACATATGCATGAATTCAGTAAATCTAATGTGAAGTCGTTGTCATATTTTGAAAGAAATGTGTAAAATTTGAATCTTATTTCTCAACCAGCTTGTTATTTTCTCTGAGGGTACAGAGCTATTAACTTCAGAGAGCCACATTCCAATTGTCAGTGGAGTATATGAATTCCATTTTAATATAATACATGTTTTTGGCAATAGCTTGTAAAACTCCAGTAAGTCTTATATTATGGCTTGCGTAGAATGGAATTACTTCAGTGAAATGACAAATCTCTGAGTCCATTGGGAAGGTCACAATGTGGTTTTTGGGAAGTCGACTGTAGCAATACTTAATCTCCGAACAAACATCGATGGAAAGGGGTTTGGCTTGCTTTACTTGATGTATTAAGAATGGACTTTCAAGCTATCCAATGAGAAATCTTTGGTTGAGTGTCACTTTGTGCTTTCTAAGTGGATTTACATAAAGATGATGGAGAAAGCTAGAGTGTTTTTTTTTTTTTTTTTTAAATGTCTTGTGCTTTTACTTTTTACAATAAGTATTTTTACATTTTATGGGTACTAAATGCTGAAATGCCTAGATTATCATAAGACATAGATTTATGGGACTTTATTTTTTGTGGTCTACTATAAAGTCCTTAAGACTACTTAGCATCCTAAAAGCACAACATACCATAGATGTACTCTTTCTTTAAACATAGTCATAAATTCTATGTCACTTTAACACTTGTTCTTCTTTTTGTGTGTAATTGTGAAGCCATTGTCTGGTGGAATAAGCCTATCTGTCTCCTGTTTCCCTGAAACTGTAGGATGTGCCTTTCTAACATACTGTGCCAGAGAGTCAGCACTGAAGGCCCAGAGCGCCCTCCATGAACAGAAGACTCTGCCAGGGGTAAGTGCCCCCGATCTGCCCTCTGTCATAGGCTAAAGCCCCTGAGGCCGCAAGCCTGGCATGGGAACCTACAATAACATAGGAATTATATCACACACACACACACACACACACACACACACACACACACACACACACACACACACATACACACACACACACAAATGCACATGCCAAGGCGCATGGGGACACAGTATACGTTAAGACACCCATTCAGGCACACAGACACACACAGAGATGGAAACAGACAGAGAGAGTCACTCATACTGTCTCAGACTCCCTCTCCGCCTCGTTTTCTTGCTCAATCTCACACACATTCTTTCTTGCTCACTCACCTACAGACACATGGACACCCACACAGACATACTAAAAGAGTGTGAGTGGCCTATCTAACCTTGCAGTGTCTTATTACACTAATCACCCCAGTGGAGATATTTGATAAGCGCTCCTTCATAACAGCCCGTGCCGTCCTTCTTCTTGTCCTCTCACAATATGGCTGCCACAGACACTAATTGCCTTGAGGAATCCCACTCTCATTATCACATATAATCAAACAGTAAGTATAAACAATTATTTTTACCATGTATACCACCATCTGGTGTTTTTGTTTTAATTCTTTCCCCTGTTTCCCCCTCCCCCTGTCTTCTATTGCTTGCCTTTGGCAGGCAGGTAACTTTTTCAATTAAAATAATGGCCTCTTCAAACGACACAGGTAAAATGTACCCAGTAGTGGGCTCTTAAGCCCACCCAGGAGGAGACGCTCAACCTGGCATGAGCGTAAACCCGTGGTGTCTAACTGTACTTGATGTGTGTGAGGGGGATTCGACTCTCACATCAGGGGAATTATCGAGGTGTGATTGAATTACGCCCGCAGGTCTCTAAGAAGTAGAAGCGGCTGTAGTGGCCAGGTTCCTCACTGCCCTCTCCAACCCCCATTTCCTTTCACCACATACCAAGACACCCTCCCAGTTTGGGACTTTAATCAGAGCCTCAGGATATCCATCTAAATCTCCAGGGAGGGAGGGAGGTATAGAGAAACAGAATGAAGGAGAAGAGACAGCAAGTAGGAGAGGAACACATTAGGGATAGGGGTTGGTTTGAAAAGGGGGGGCAGAGGTGGTTGATTGAGTTGGGGGGCTTTCTAGTGTTCCTCACTGTTGGGTTAATCAGTTGTTTGCACTTCACTGAATTTCATAGGTACTTCACTGAATGTTAGGCACACCGGTACACTGCGGCGAAGGAGTCCCTGGGAGACCGGACTCCCTGGTTAGTTATGGCCTCCTGCAGCTTCATAATGAGATGATTGTCATGATGGTCCTGGATAGGTGTTCCTGTCTTTATTGCCCTCATGGAGGCACATTATTGTTTGTCTTCTATCCAGAAAGAGGTTAATGGCATGTTCTGTGGGGTTTGGGTAAACATTTCCCAGTACAGCTCACAGCGAGGGGTCAGTCCTGCAATCTTAGGCTGAGCGCAGCCTGCATACAGAGGGCTAATAAAGATGTTCTTCTGTCTTTCTGTGTGTGTGTGCGTGTTGATGCATGTATGAGACAAAGAGAGGGAGAAAGAGAAAGTAAGAAGAGTAGGAAGGAGACTGGGACAGACAAAGGCCGGGAGAGGTGACACTTCTGGATAAGCCTCACTGTCATTGTCAAGTCCTGATGGTTTGAGATGCTCTCTTGTATAATGCGGCGTCCTCACTAACACTTAAAGGTCCATTTTCAATAAAGCTTTGGAGCACAGAAAATGCTGGATTTCATGTATTTCACTCCCAGGTTTACCATGGTATTTTGAAAAGCTTCCTTCAAATAGTGTCTACAGATGTGACTGGTACTTGATAATATACCAACTCAAAAATCAAGGGGATGGTGAAAGGAGCTGTGTGCATGTGATTCTGACGAACTCTTGTCTCTGCGACCAATTGGCTTTGGTCTGCAACAGACAAAGCCAGAGCATTGTGAGGGAAGAGGTGGCAAGAGCTTCCCAACTCTTGTCCTATCTTGCCAGTTTTGTTGTCGGCCTGCTACATTAGGGTCTTCTGAAGGGTGTTTGAGAGACGGAGAAATCAGTGCAAAAGTTTAGGGTTGCATTTTTAAGCAAGACATTTGTCTTAATTTGATAACGATCTTCTCTTCACGAACTGATCCCAGATCATGACGGTTGAAATCTCTCAGCCAGGGTGCTGTAATTTTACTTTACTTCCATTGTTACAAACCGTATTTGTCTCACTTTTCCTGCACAGTGCAGATATTTCCATATTAACACTGTGTGTGCATTTCACAAAAGGAGGAGACTATAGGCTTAACAGTGAGACAGAGAGGAGTCAGAGATATTTGTGTCTGTGGTCTCAGCAGGAGGCCATGACTCTTACATCATCTCCAGATTGGCTGTGAATCTTACATTTTCCATAATTCACATTACTTTATTTACTAAGTCTTATACTGTGTGCACCGCATTTGAATTGCCACCAGGCAAGCCGGCTGAAGCGAGCTTTGTTTACATTGTTTGATTAATTGCATGTAAAGAGCATAATGAGCTCTTGATGTCCTGTGAATCTGATCCTGCTGCTACAGTTTGTACAGTAAATGTAATCAGAGATTCAGCCTCTTGCCCTTGGTGCGCTCGTAGAGCTGTTGTGTTTATGTGCGCATTCAGCACATTCCCCGAGGGGAGCATGGTACTGTATGTGGACAGGTTAGGTCATGCCTGTGAATGATTTCTCCCCGGATCTGATAGACTTGAACCAAATGAACAACGCATTCACATTTCTACATCAAGACAGTTTGTATTAAGCTACAGGTAAGTTGTTGATCACAGAAAAAAAAGTCCTGATGACCAAATACTTTCCTTTGTATGCCCATAAACTTCATGGCAAGCATTATATTTTCTTTTGTGTAAAGCCATCTGGCAATAAAGACAGCAAGAAAGTATAAAGAATATTTGCAATTGCAGCAGCAAAATGTTATTTACAACTGTTTGCCAAATAGCTCCCAACATGCTGCCATTGGAGCTGCGAACCTTCAAATGAATGCTGCTCTCTCTTTTCAAGGCCATGCAGCTTTCTCCTCTCAGGCCAATTAGCTCCTGGTGTTTGCATGTAACAAGCATGCTAATTGGGTGCTACTGAAGCCCGAAAGCCAATTATAAATTTCGAGGAAAAAAGATTCTTTGTCTCTCATTCACTTGCGCTCTCTACTTCTTCCTGGCTAATCATATCTCTACCACTTTCACTTCCACACTTCTTTTTCCACACTTTCTCTGTGGAATGTGCTGAGTGTGGGGTGGCGCCCCAACCTTATACTTGTCATTTATGTAGATGCTTCTATGGAGGGATGTACATTTCTTGGTTTCTGAGTGAGAGTACCGGCAGCACCTGACCCCTGTAATGAAGACGAGGCAACCAAGCACACCAGAGATAGAACAGAGAAGATAGGAGGGGTAAAATGTACCAGCTCTTTCTGAAGTGTTTCTATTCAAGTTTAAAAGGGAAAGCTTGAAAGTATCAGCTTCCACCAAAGTGAGTTGCAAAATATTTGGGTTTCTCACACTTTTTCCTTCTTCTTCCATGCATGAAAAGTGCAGAAAATTGACTTCAGCGGGTGTCACACAAAATGGGTCAGGGGAAGACTATGCAATACTAGTATTATGTGTCACTAAGCATACTGCCATGGACCAATGCATCCGTGTTCTTGACACCCTCTCCCCGCATCACACCACAGATGCGGCCACCGTAGACCTGCCATATGTCTTTGTCTGTGTCTCAGTGCATGCTGAGAATAAGCAGCATTTTTCCTCTTGTATTTACTCTCCTAAAATCACACATGCCATAGATAGGCTGTGAGCATGAATATGTAACCAAAAAAAAGTTAAATTTGTGTAAATATTCTCCAACAAATACTTTATTTTAACATTTATTAAAAAGTGACATCTATACAATGACTTCTCAGGGGAGGTGGTAAGAGATGCACACATCAGACATCAGTGTTTCCCACAGAATGACTGAATGATTTTTCTGGGACTTGATTAGCAGCTACGTACAGCGTGCTAACCTCAACAGCCCAGCTGTAGTTTAACGTTAACATAGCTATAGCTAGGCTCCTTGCTTGCTAATAACTTATTAGTTTATTTATATTTAACTTATTTGAAGGTGGGTCTCTGAGATAGACTAACTCATCAGAGTTAACTTGAGTGCATGAGAAATTTGTGCATTGGTGTTCGCAATACTACCCGTTCAACTCCGGATTGATTCAGTGCATGATCATGTTTTGATTTACATCGTAGAAGAGGAGCTGTTCACAGGATGGGTCCAATGTTAGTAGCCGGTTTCACACTGATTATTTTTCGAGAGTACTGAATCACAATCAGAAAGAGCTTTATTGCCAAGTTTTTTACACATACAAGGAATTTGCTTTGGTGATGAGGTGCTACACATAGACAAACATACAGTTTACATAAATAATGTAGAAATATATAAATATGGATTAGACAATGCAAGTTTATAGAATAATAAGAGAATAGAGAAAAATAATATAACTATTTGCAGAAGAAATACGTGTTGCAATGGAAGAGAGTATTGTGTACATAAATATAAATTGACAACATAAATTGACAATATAAAAATATACAACAACAAAGATTAACAATTAACAAAAAATATGTGCAGTGTGCCAGGTTTGTGCGTGATATGAAATAAAATAATATTTACATGTGCAGAGACAGTTGTATTATTTTAAAAGGGGGGAGTGTCAGTGAGGGACCCAGGTCTTCTTGATGAGGCTAGCTGCTGATGGGAAGAAGTTGCTTTTGTGGCGAGAGGTTTTGGTCCTGATGGTCAGCAGCAGGGCTGTGCAGAGACCTTTGGAAGGGCAGGTGCTCAAAGTATAAAAGGGGCACATGGAACAAGGATTTAAATAGGACTGTTCTCAAAATATTGATACAGAAATATATTGTTATGTATTCTTTGATTATATGTGTATACAGATGCTTCTGTATCTGATACA